GATCATTGCACTGCTCGACATCCGACTGTGCGAATAGAGAGGATATCTACGCCATGGTAGGGGATGGGAGGGAGGGGTAGGACGCTAGATATGACGCGAGCGCACCTAGCTTGTCCGCCCCCCCGTCCCTGTTGCTCCCCCTCCTCCTCCTCTTCCTCCTCCTCCTCCTCTTCCTCCTCCTCCTCCTCCTCCTCCTCCTCCTCCTCCTCCTCCTCCTCCTCCTCCTCCCTCCCTCCTCCCTCCCTCCTCCTCCTCCTCCTCCTCCTCCTCCTCCTCCTCCTCCTCTCTCCTCCTCCTCAGAGGCGCAGAAAGCATGCTGCCCTTCGGCCCCCTTCGCCCCCTCCCTTCCCCCCCCTCCCACGACTCCCCCGGAGGCCCCCTGACAGTCTCTCGGGACCTCCCCCGGGGGGAGGTCCAGACGGGGCCAGGGGCTGCCGAAACATACAAAAGCATCGGATCCTCGATGCCCTCGCCCCCCCCCTCAGGAGGGGAATTACCCTGTGACGTACCCAACCCATTTGTATCATGGGAAACGAGGAGTTGGCCGAAACTTGCACGGACAATCAAATTGCAGGATCCGTTGTTTGATATGTAAGCTACTTGGGACACGCGCCAATGGCATGATGCGCAGGAGAACCACACAAGAACGAGGGGCGACAACTACAGGCTCGAAGAGGACATGGGGAGTCGGGAACGAAGAGCAGGAGAAAGACGTGCTGTGCTGTGCCCCTCAGCAGCCCTCGAAAGTGGCGACAATTTCACAGATCGCAGCCCCCCAGGGATGGCGAGGTCCCATTTGAATCCGCCGTGGGTACCCACTGTGCTGGGCCCCCCAGCAGGGTTCGAAAGTGGCGACACTTTCACAGATCGCAGGCCCCCAGGGATGGCGAGGTCTGATATGAGTCTGCGGTGAGTACCCTCTGTGCTGGGCCCCTCAGCAGCCCTCGAAAGGGGCGACAGTTTCACAGATCGCAGCCCCCCAGGGATGGCGAGGTCCCATTTGAGTCTGCGGTGAGTACCCACTGCGCTGGGCCCCTCAGCAGCCTTCGAAAGTGGCGACACTTTCACAGATCGCAGGCCCCCAGGGATGGCGAAGTCCCATTTGAATCCGCCGTGGGTGCCCACTGCGCTGGGCCCCCCAGCAGGCCTCGAAAGTGGCGACCATTTCACAGATCGCAGCAACCCCAGGGATGGCGAGGTCCCATTTGAGTCTGCGGTGAGTACCCACTGTGCTGGGCCCCTCAGCAGCCCTCGAAAGTGGCGACAGTTTCACAGATCGCAGCCCCCAGCAGCCCTCGAAACGCAGCGACGAGCGAGGTAAGAAAGTGGCGACCGTCTCACAGATCGCAGCCCCCCAGGGATCGCGAGGTCGAACTTGAATCCGCCGTGGGTACCCACTGCGCTGGGCCCCCCAGCAGGCCTCGAAAGTGGCGACAGTTTCACAGATCGCGACCCCCCGGGGATGGCGAGGTCAAATTTGAATCCGCCGTGGGTGCCCACTGCGCTGGGCCCCCTCAGCAGCCCTCGAAAGTGGCGACGGTTTCACAGATCGCAGCCCCCCAGGGATGGCGAGGTCCCATTTGAATCCGCCGTGGGTACCCACTGTGCTGGGCGCCCCAGCAGGGTTCGAAAATGGCGACAGCTTCACAGATCACAGCCCCCCAGGGATGGCGAGGTCCCATTTGAATCTGCCGTGGGTACCCACTGTGCTGGGCCCCCCAGCAGCCCTCGAAAGTGGCGACACTTTCACAGATCGCAGCCCCCCAGGGATGGCGAGGTCCCATCTGAATCCGCCGTGGGTACCCACTGTGCTGGGCCCCCCAGCAGCCCTCGAAAGTGGCGACAGTTTCACAGATCGCAGCCCCCAGCAGCCCTCGAAACGCAGCGACGAGCCAGGTAAAAGGCAGGGGGGGAGAGAGGGACGGGAAGGAAGGTTCGCGCGAGCAGTGCTCTATTCATTACCCTGTGACGTTCCCCACTCATTTGTATCATGGGAAACGAGGAGTCGGCCGAAACTTGCATGGACAATCAAATTGCAGGATCCGTTGTTTGATCTGTAAGCTACTTGGGACACGCGCTTATGGCATGATGCGCAGGAGAACCACACAAGAACGAGGGGCGACAACTACAGGCTCGAAGAGGACATGGGGAGTCGGGAACGAAGAGCAGGAGAAAGACGTGCGGGAAGCCCACTGTGCGGGGCCCCCCAGCAGGCCTCGAAAGTGGCGACACTTTCACAGATCGCAGCCCCCCAGGGATGGCGAGGTCTAGTTTGAATCCGCCGTGACTACCCACTGTGCTGGGCCCCCCAGCAGGCCCCGAAAGTGGCGACAGTTTCACAGATCGCAACCCCCCAGGGATGGCGAGGTCTAATTTCAGCCCGCGGTGGGTACCCACTGTGCTGAGCCCTCCAGCAGGCCTAAAACGTAACGACAGTTTCACAGATCGCAGCCCCCCAGGGATGGCGAGGTCTAATTTGAGTCCGCGGTGAGTACCCACTGTGCTGTGCCCCTCAGCAGGCCTCGAAAGTGGCGACAGTTTCACAGATCGCAGCCACCCAGGGATGGCAAGGTCTAATCTGAGTCCGCGGTGTGTACCCACTGTGCTGGGCCCCCCAGCAGCCCTCGAAAGTGGCGGCAGTTTCGCAGATCGCAGCCCCCCAGGGATGGCGAGGTCTAGTTTGAGTCTGCGGTGGGTACCCACTGTGCTGAGCCCTCCGGCAGGCTTCGAAAGTGGCGACAGTTTCACAGATCGCAGCCCCCCAGGGATGGCGAGGTCTAGCTGGAGTCAGCGGTGTGTACCCACTGTGCTGGGCCCCCCAGCAGGCCTCGAAAGTGGCGACAGTTTCACAGATCGCAGCCCCCCAGGGATGGCAAGGTCTAATCTGAGTCCGCGGTGTGTACCCACTGTGCTGGGCCCCCCAGCAGGCCTCGAAAGTGGCGACAGTTTCACAGATCGCAGCCACCCAGGGATGGCGAGGTTTAGCTTCAGTCCGCGGTGGGTACCCACTGTGTTGAGCGCCCCAGCAGGCCTCGAAAGTAACGACAGTTTCACAGATCGCAGGCCCCCAGGGATGGCGAGGTTTAGCTTCAGTCCGCGGTGTGTACCCACTGTGCTGGGCCCCCCAGCAGGCCTCGAAAGTGGCGACAGTTTCACAGATCGCAGCCCCCCAGGGATGGCGAGGTCTAATTTGAGTCCGCGGTGTGTACCCACTGTGCTGGGCCCCCCAGCAGGCCTCGAAAGTGGCGACAGTTTCACAGATCGCAGCCCCCCAGGGATGGCGAGGTCCCATTTGAATCCGCCCCACTGTGCTGGGCCCCCCAGCAGGCCTCGAAAGTGGCGACAGTTTCACAGATCGCAGCCCCCCAGGGATGGCGAGGTCTAATTTGAATCCGCCGTGGGCCCACTGTGCTGGGCCCCCCAGCAGGCCTCGAAAGTGGCGACAGTTTCACAGATCGCAGCCCCCCAGGGATGGCGAGGTCTAATTGAATCCGCCGTGGGTACCCACTGTGCTGGGCCCCCCAGCAGGCCTCGAAAGTGGCGACAGTTTCACAGATCGCAGCCCCCCAGGGATGGCGAGGTCAATTTGAATCCGCCGTGTGTACCCACTGTGCTGGGCCCCCCAGCAGGCCTCGAAAGTGGCGACAGTTTCACAGATCGCAGCCCCCCAGGGATGGCGAGGTCCAATTTGAATCCGCCGTGGGTACCCACTGTGCTGGGCCCCCCAGCAGGCCTCGAAAGTGGCGACAGTTTCACAGATCGCAGCCCCCCAGGGATCGCGAGGTCGAACTTGAATCCGCCGTGGGTACCCACTGTGCTGGGCCCCCCAGCAGGCCTCGAAAGTGGCGACAGTTTCACAAATCGCAGCCCCCCAGGGACGGCGAGGTCCCATTTGAATCCGCCGTGGGGGCCCACTGTGCTGGGCACCCAGCAGCCCTCGAAAGTGGCGACAGTTTCACAGATCGCAGCCCCCCAGGGATGGCGAGGTCCCATTTGAATCCGCCGTGGGTACCCACTGTGCTGGGCCCCCCCCCAGCAGGCCTCGAAAGTGGCGACAGTTTCACAGATCGCAGCCCCCAGCAGCCCTCGAAACGCGACGAGCAGGAGCGAAGGCAGGGGAGAAGAGAGGGACGGGGGGGGGCGGGAGGGTTCGCGCGAGCAGTGCTCTAATCAAAACGAGAACCCAACGCAGGAGGGTTGGGAAAAAACGAGAACCCAACGCAGGCGGGTTGGGAAAAATTACACGGGCATAACGAATCGTCGATTCCTCAGGACATACGGGGAATCTATATATATATATATATATATATGGGAAGCGGCGGGGGGGATACGGAAATCCAGAGATATGGAGAATACGGGCATCCTGGGATTTGTATATTCATGTGTGTCTGTGTCTGTGTCTGTGTCTGTGTCTGTGTCTGTGTCTGTGTGCGTGTGCGTGTGCGTGTGCGTGTGCGTGTGTGCGTGTGCGTGTGCGTGTGCGTGTGCGTGTGCGTGTGCGTGTGCGTGTGCGTGTGCGTGTGCGTGTGCGTGTGTGTGTGTGTGTGTGCGTGTGCGTGTGTGTGCGTGTGTGTGTGTGTGTGTGTGTGTGGTGCGTGTGGGTGTGGGTGGGGTGGGTGTGGGTGTGCGTGTGCGTGTGCGTGTGCGTGTGCGTGTGCGTGTGCGTGTGCGTGTGCGTGTGCGTGTGCGTGTGCGTGTGCGTGTGCGTGTGCGTGTGCGTGTGTGTGTGCGTGTGTGTGCGTGTGCGTGTGCGTGTGCGTGTGCGTGTGCGCGTGCGCGTGTGCGGTGCGCGTGCGTGCGCGGCGCGTGCGCGTGCGCGTGCGCGTGTGCGCGTGCGCGTGCGCGGCGCGTGCGCGTGCGCGTGCGCGTGCGCGTGTGCGTGTGTGTGTGTGTGTGTGTGTGTGTGTGTGTGTGCGGGTGTGTGCGGGTGTGTGTGTGTGGGTGTGTGTGTGTGTGTGTCCTTGGGCACCTTCCCCCCACCCCCGCGAGACCCGCGGGGCCTCCAGATCGGCGACGGGCTCAAGCAGCGTCAGTCCGGGCCCCTCCTGCACGGCCTTCTGCACCGCGGCCTCCGCCGCCGCGCCAGGCGCGGTGCCCCCGGGAAGACGAGGGATGATGAGGAGGAGCAGAGGAAAGAGGCCTCCTCCTCCTCCTCCTCCTCCTCCTCCTCCTCCCTCCTCCTCCTCCTCCTCCTCCTCCTCCTCCTCCTCCTCCTCCTCCTCCTCCTCCTCCTCCTCCTCCTCCTCCTCCCTCCTCATCACCATCATCACCAGCATCAGCATCACCAGCACCATCAGCATCAGCAGCATCATCAACATCACCATCATCACCAGCATCACCATCATCATCAACATCATCATCACCACCATCACCATCACCATCACCATCACCATCACCGCCATCACCATCACCGCCATCACCATCACCACCATCACCATCATCATCATCATCATCATCATCATCATCATCATCATCAGCATACTCATCATCATTATACCAGTCAGTGCCATTATTATCCCCATCAGCATCAATTCTCCTCCTCCTCCTTCTCCTCATCCTCGTCACCATCTCCCTGGGCGACTGCGCCCGCGAGAAGGCACGTTGGCGGCAACGACCGAGGACCGACGACCGAAGAAGACGGCGACGAAGACGAGGACGAGGATGACGACGCCTGAAAACATCTGAAAACTGACGACGCTGACGAAGACGAACGGCGGCGACGATGGCATCCTCTGGCCCCTGGATGTCAATTTCCTTTGCTGGCCCCTGGGGGTCCGTTTCGAACCCTAGGGCACCCACGGTGAAACCGAAACGCGGGTCCGTTCCGCAAAAAAACAAACATCCTGGTCACAATCACCATCATCGTCGTCATCACCATTGACAGCATCACCGTCACCATCACAATCACCATCATCACCATCATCATCATCATCAGCATCATCATCATCAACATCCTCATCACCATCATCAACATCATCAGCATCATTCGCAACACCATCACCACCACCGTCGTCAGCATCATCATCATAGTCAGCAGCAACATCATCATCACCATCATCAACACCATCACCATCACTATCACCGCCACCACCCGCATCATCTTCATCATCATCATCATCATCAGCATCATCATCATCAGCATCATCATTATCATCATCGTCGTATCATCGCCATCATCATCATACTCCTCGTCAGCATCACCATCATCAAAGGCAGCATGACAAGCATTGCTACCATCCGCAGCATAACCATCATCATTAACATCAGTATCATAACCATAATGCTTAGCATCACCATAAGCATCATGATCGACAGTGTCATCATCATCACCGTCATCATAGGCATCATTATCATTAGCATCACCATGACCACCACCACAACCATCATCATCCTCATCATCACCATACCCATCATCAGTATCGTCATCCTCAGCATCAGCATCATCATGATTTGGCATCATCATTATCAGCATCATTACCATCATCACCATCACCACCATCATCATCAGATCAGCATAATCATTATTATCCTCACCAGCAGCTCATCATCATCATCACAAGCATCGCCAGCATCATCATCAGCATCATCATCAACATAATCTCCTTCATCGTTCACACTCTCTCCTCATCGATCCTCCTCCTCATCCCGCGCTCCTCCTCCTCCTCACCGTCCTCCTCATCCTCCGTGCGTTGATGACCCCAACGAATCACGACAACGAGGAGTGAACATGCACCCAAATAATAAAACTAAGAGGCCCTCACCACGGCCTCAGAATGGCCCAAGAAGGCCCATAAACGGCCCACGACGGCAAAGACGACCCCAAGGCGGCCAACAACACCCCAAGACGGTCCCAGAGGGCCCCACGAGTGCCTCAATGGACCCCAAAGACTGCCCCACAGGAGCCCAAGGCAGCCCCACATGCGGCGCAAACGAACTCTATGAGAGCTTCTCTTCCTCCTCATCCTCCTCCTCTTCCCCCCATGGGCCTCCTCCCCCTCCGCCTCCTCCTCCTCATCATCATCCTATCCTCCTCCTCCTCCTTTTCCTCCTCCTCCTCCGCCTCGTCCTGCTCATCATCATCCTCATCCTCATCCTCATCCTCATCCTCATCCTCATCCTCATCCTCATCATCGTCATCATAATCGTCATCTTCATCATCATTATCATCATCATCGGCATCATCATCATGACCATCACCACCATGATCATCAGCACAATCATCATCATTACTATCATCAGCTCATCATCATCATCATCATCATCATCATCATCAGCATCATCATCATCATCATCATCATCATCATCATCACCATCACCATCATCATCGTCATCATCATCATCATCATCATCATCACCATCATCATCATCATCATCATTATCGTCATCATCATCCTAATCAGCATCGTCATCATGAGCATCGTCATCAGCATCAGCATCAGCATCAGCATCAGCGTCATCATCATCATCATCGTCATCATCATCATCATCATCATCATCCTCAACATCCTCATCATCATCGTCATCAGCATCATCATCATCATCATAAGTATCGTCATCATCATCATCAGCATCATCAGAATCATCATCATCACCACCACCATCATCATCATCATCATCATCATCATCATCATCATCATCATCACCATTACCATCACCATAATCATCATCACCATCAGCAGCAAAAAATCTTTCTGTTTGCGCCTGCAAGCTGCGCGAGCCGAGGAGATGTGCGGGCCATTTTGTTTTGGCCCGCAGCCCCTGGGAGCCCAGTCCAAAGGGCGAGGAGATTTGCGGGCCGTTTTGTGGGGGCCTGCAGTTTCGGCGAGCCGAGGAGATTGCGAGGAGCCCAATACAAGCCGATTAGGGTGAAGATATTTGCGGGCCATTTTTTGGCCCGCAATTGGCGCGAGCCAAGGAGATTTGCGGGCCGTTTTGTTCTGGCCCGCAATTTCTGCGAGCCCAATCCAAACCTTTCGGGTGAGGAGATTTGCGGGCAACTTTTTTTGGCCCGTCCGCGAGCCCCATCACAGCCTTTCCTGCCATGTTTGTCGGTCCCCACCCGTCACGGACGAACCATATTTTGGGTCCCCGCACGAACATAGGCAAACCCAGCCAAACACGGGGTTTGTGGAGGCAGGCAGTCCGCGGGGAGATAAAATATGCGCAACAAACCAACACATGTTTTTGGAATTTGCCGGCCTTGTAAGACCAACGCCCGGCAACAAACATCTTGTTACAGGCATCCCCTCCCCCCCCCCGTGGGACGAGCTCGCCCAACGCACCTCTGATGTCCTCAGAGACTCGAAATCCACTCTCCGCGGCCGACACGATGCTCGAAATGCCTTCTACTATAGCTTTCGTGGGAACTCGCAGGGACCCCGGAAACCCACCCCCACAAGATGGCCCACAACCCCCGACATGCCCCCAAGAAGCTGCCAGGGAGCCCCCAAAGCCCCCAAGAGCCCTGAAAAGGCTCCAAGTGATCGCCTGTAGGCGTCAAAGAAGCCTCAAAGAAACCCCGCAACAGACGCGGAGGAAGACAAGGCCGAATCAGCAGCAACCAAACGCAGGCAGCATGACAGCAAGACGTCGGAAGCCGCCCATCTTTTCTGAGAGTCGGCACAATGACGTAATTAAGTCTCTTGAGTATACCCCTGGTAAGCCTCTTGAGTATACCCCCGCTTTGCCACCTAGCCAATCGATCAGGGACATGTCCAGATGTTTCCATCCGGCTCAGAAAATGTCTACGTCTTCCTCCCAACACGGAACTTCTGTCGTCGACGTTGGGAAATGCGTGGCGGGCGTGGGCCGTGGTACACACTGCGCGCGAAAGACAAAAACGCGTCTCTCACTACAGCGCGGAACATATTTTTCAGTTTGTTCCCTGATATGATAGTGCTTCGCTAGAGGGTTCTTAGAACAGGATACGAAAAAACACAGAAGAGTCCGATAAAAAAAACGAGGAGCCCGAGACCACCTGGTCACAGCCGTTTCGCCTGAGACTTCCCGATCATTGACAGTCGGACCTAAGACACAAGAACGTCCCTCGAGAACATGAGACCCTTCGCCGGAGAACATTCGAGGGTGTCCTCCTCCAGGATGCACAAGCACATCCAACAAACACGAAGAACATTAGGGTACCCTCCCCGAACCGACCTCGATCTTATGCCTCGGTCCGACCGTATTCAAGAATCGTGCTCTCGTCTCGATGCCGGCTGCCACAAAAGGCCCGCCTGGTCCGGCAGCCCTCTCGCCTGAGCCTTCCTAACACTTGATTCCGGAATTGTGTTTTCGCCTCAATGCCGGCTGCTTGTTTCCGGAATGGCGCTTCGTTAGCTGGTTATCATGATTTGTACTTAACAGCTTGCGCTGATAGGTTTCTAGTAGGGTCAAAAGAGAGCATCATGACACTCCAGGGGGGCTCGGGCGGAACCCGGCAGAAACCGGGAGAATCCGGCGGAGCTCATTCCGTGCGCGCAGGTACGCACGGGAACCACCTCGGCGCCATCGGAGGTGCGTTCCGTGCGCGCAGGCACGCACGGGGGCCACCTCGGCGCCATCGGAGGTGCGTTCCGTGCGTGCAGGTACGCACGGGAACCACCTCGGCGCCATCGGGGGTGCGCCCCGCGCGTGCAGGTGCGTGCGGGAACCACCTCGGCGCCATCGGAGGTGAGTTCCGTGGGTGCAGGTACGCACGGGAGCCACTTCGGCGCCATCGGAGGCGCGGCTGAGGCTGAGGCAGGCTGAGGCTGAGGCTGAGGCTGAAGCTGATGCAAGCTGAGGCTGATGCAGGCTGAGGCCGCAGGAGTATGCGGGAGCGCAGCAGGCTGAGGCTGAGGCAGGCTGAGGCTGAGGCTGAGGCTGATGCAGGCTGAGGCTGAGGCAGGCTGAGGCCGAAGGGGTATGCGGGAGCGCAGCAGGCTGAGACTGACGCAGGTTGAGGTTGAGACTGAGGCAGATGCAGGCTGTGGCTGAGGCAGGCTGCGCTGACTTGTCCTGTGGAGCTCCAGTGTCGCAGAAGATGCATATGTAGCTTCCTCGTCGCATTAAGGGGTTCCAGCGTCACCGA